ATATAAGTAAAGTTTACTTTTTTTGACTAAACTTTTTTTATTCGCACGCGCGCATCAGTTTTGGGGCTCCCGGAGGATGTCATCCATATAATCAAATCAACATGGCCTTAGTAAAACTACAAGTTGATTATGGTCATAATAGCATATTGTAAGAAAAAATGACTATATGGACAGTTGTGTTCCTTTCGTATTTAAACATTTTAGAACATTGTGCATCACGAATATGGAGGCAGACTGAGTCTTTTTTGCATTTTAGTACATCTAGAGATCTTCTTACATTTTTATAAACAAAACTTAATTATTTACATGTATATATCACAAAAGAGAAAAACAGTCAAATGTATTTTAGGAAAATGGAGGATAAAGCAGTTTCAAAAGAGAACTAGAAAAAAGTCGTGTACATGTACGCTTACGCTACATGATCCACTGAAATGTAAACTAAAGACACTAACATGGTGGCCAGCATCTGCCATGATGGCCAGTTATCTCCCATAAATTGACTACAGGCCACTTTGAGGTCAACCAGACCAGAGCAGACAAAAAAGATATTACCTAGACACATAAACAGAGGGTAAAATAGATAGTGGCCTGTCAACTAGACCAACCTTTTATAAAAATGGGTAAAGATTTTAAACTTTTTTTTTAAAATACACACTGCATTTCTAGAGCAACCTGAATACACGCTAAAACGCAAAGGCACACAGCAACTACACATGTACCAAAGTTCATTGCTATCCATCCAGCGGTTCTTAAGATCAGCAAGAAATCGAAAATCAAACAACCATGCAGGTCCAGCTAGGGGGCCAAAATTTACGTAAACCACTATATGCTACCCAAACATCACATCCACAGACCATCCTGCGCCAACAATATTTAAGAAAAATTCTTACTGCAGTACCAAGTTCAATCACCAAGGGCCCAAAGTCAAGTAATACAATCCTCTATACCCCACCTATCTACCTGCCAAATATCATCGCATCCCGTCTGACAGATCTTGAGATATACACGAAAACATCATCCAGACTGAAAACAAGACACCCCATTTCATGGAGTGTAATTAATTGAATCATTGTCATCCAATCACAGACGGGGACCTTCAATCAATCAGCCATAGAGGAGGAGCCAACATCCACGCCTTACAACTTTCAAAATGCCACGCTGTCATCAATCTTCAGCAGCTCCTACCCTACACAGAAACTAACCCGTAATCCAAAGATGATGCCAAAGACACTAACAAAAATACCCTCCTCTCTAACGACGGCGCCTTTTTATACGACCAGACCTGAATCGAAAGTGAGCACGAAAAGTCTTCTTGCACCGACAACGTTCCTGAACAAAGGTACTTTTACTCCTTGTTATTCCAATTGTCTAAAGAGTATGAATATGTTTGACTTTGCTTTGCCGTGTTTTTTTCTTTATCTTATGAATAGAATAGAAGATGAGCAACACTTTATTTTAGAACGTACTTTATATTCTAATGAAAGATCTGTCCTTTTCATCATATCAAAGAAAAGTTCCCATACTTTGAACACCTAAGTGCAAATGATAAATTTATATTTTTGTTGTCAACTTCTTCTCGCTTTTTTGTACAATGGAAAATGTGGGAACAGATCATGTTTGTGATACAGAGTTTGTCTAGACGCATCAAAAATATAAATTTATCGTTTGCATTTAGGTGTTCAAAGTATGGGAACTTCTCTTTGATATGATTAAAAAGGGCAGATCTTTCACTAGAATATAAAGTACAGTCTAAAATAAAGTGTTGTTCATCTTCTATTCTATTCTATTCTATTCATGTTACAGTATTGACAGAGTCTATTCTGGAGAGGAATGCGGTTGTGCCTTCCCGTTTCAATGAAGCAAACGGACTGGCCATATCCAGAGACAATGAGGTGTATCTGGCTGATACAGGTAATAAACTAGTCAACGTCTTTAGCGTGAAAGGCGTTTTTCTCCGCGACTTCAAGACAGTGGTACCTGGTACAAATGGACGGAAAATGTTCCCAGCGGATATTGCCATTGACAGAAAAGATCATCTGTGGGTCGTGGGTGTCGTGGGTTCCTTTGAATCGGGCATTGCTCACATCGTACGGTACAATCGGGAAGGTTTGCCCCAAACCACATTCGGCCTACCCGGTAAGTCTACCATAGGAGCCCGATCCTTAGGCGTCGCCGTGGACAAGCTCAATGACAGAATCATTGTGATTGCAAATTGGGTTCATATCCACATTTTCCATCCCAACGGCCGGTTGATACGTGTATTTAGAAGAGTCGGGTCAACTAAATCGCCAATAGGTCGCCCTTACATCGCAACAGGCAAGGAAGGAAACATCATTGTTTCCATTGAGTTCAAGAAAGTTGTGCAAGTGTACACCAAGGACGGGCATTGGCTCTTCAGGTTAAAGATTGGTTCTCCGCGGGGTGTCTGTACGGACAGTTCGGGGAACATCATCGTGGCGAACTGGGGAAAGAACAGAGTGGACATTTTTTTAAACCGTAGAGAGTACACCCACACTGGACCAATCAGACGCCCGGACCGCGTTGCTATAGCAACAGACGGGCGTTTATTGGTTACCAGCAAACGGCGACACCACATTAGCATAAATATGTATTGCGTGACAACTCAGCCTAACACTGGTATAATTATAAGGCGATGTAAGCAGTAAATGTGTCATTTCATATTCAATTGTTGTTACAAAGTTTATGATCTCGAAATTTGAAAATGTAGGAATCTTGTTTTTGTCCGCCTTGTTTCTTTTTCACCCTATCGCATTAGATTTGGAGTCTGTGGAGGATGTCATCCATAAAATTTACTTGCTGTGGCCTTAATCGTGCCTTCCAGTTCTTATTGTAGATTAGGCCACACCGACTTAATTTTATGATATATGGATGACATCCGCGCGCGCATGGATTTTCGCCTGTTCTGTGATCTAAAAGATCACATCCACTGAGGCTCTGGCCTGGCTCTAGGCCTGGGTAGTTTATGGTAGTTGGCGACAATACGAAGTCGGGCACCCAGGCTACCGAAACTCCACGACTCAAGAACTCACTACATACGTACAATGCCGATTCATAAATTCCGCAAAAAGCCAGCATGTGCGGGCTTGTTCTATATGTCGCTAAAGTACTGTTGCAAATTCACAACACCAGCTTTGTATTCCTGTGGTTTAGTAGCATTTCTAAGTCTATTTTTGGCCGGATTTTTTTTATTCGCCCGCGCGCACTAGTTTGGGGGATCTTCAGAGGATGTCATCCATAAAATTACGTCGGTGTGGCCTTAATTATGTGTAACAAGCTTCCGTTTGTGAATATCCTTGTTTCCACGTACAGTCATTACAGTATCAAGATGTAATTTTTTTTTTGGAAACACCTACTTCCCCGAATTTCCGCTTTGTACATTTGTACACACACACCCTTACGCAGAAAAGTCCCTCCGAACATTATATTAGTCATGGCGGGGGAATATTTCAAAGATGACGTTTTGGGGAAGTTTGGACCAATGGTTACGTGTCTATGACGTAAGCCAGGTACACAAACAGGAAGTCAACTACCGGGCCCGAGTTTCAGCCCAAATTCTAGTTCAGTTCACAACGGTTGAAACCGTTTTGGTTCTCGCTGAAACGTTATCTGGGTATGTACACTTGTTCTTAAAGTGTTGACACTTTAGGTGATTGCTATGTTACTATGATTTGTAAAAGTACTGTATGGTAAAGAAGGGTAATTCTTACGTTCGTTTTACACTTCCGGTTTCTGTGTTAAGTCATCGGTCGTTTGTTCAAAAGTGCGGACTGTTTTAGACGAAATCCGTACACATAGGTCATTATTTGAGTGAAATTGTGACCAAAACTACAATTTGGTTCAAAAGAGGACGCATAAGCTAGCGTTTGAGAAAAAAAGATGATGTTGTATTACTGTAACGTAAACTTACATAGAAGTTGGATGGACTGTGATATGTGTATGATATTTCCACCACCGTCAAGAAACAGGAAGAAACTTGTCTGTAAAGTTATAAGGGAAATGAAATGCTTTCACTGATACTGCATTTCTATTCGCTTCTCATGTACTTATTACTATGTAAAATGTGTTTTTGTGTGAAAATTTCGATGGTGCTTTAGTTGCAGTACATATTTGGTTCGCCTGGAGTCGCCCCTGGGATTCCCCGGAAGTTTTTGTCTCCAGTTGCGTCATCATCCCCCGTGGTGCACACTGGGAAAATTTGGAGTCAGAGAAAGCAAGATGGCGGCCGGCAGCGGAACACGGCTCCAGGCACGGGGCCGTCCTCGGTAAAACCGTGCTCCGCAAGCCGCCCAAGAAAAAAAGGACTACTTTCGATGCACGCCAAGAAACGATACGCTCTTGTGCTCTTTTCGGGCCTGTTATTGTTGTTGTTTTACTACGGAGGAGTACGCTTATTAGGGGCTACATCAGCCTCGGCCCGCCGTTCGGGGGGCGCCTGGGCCCCAGCCCCGCATGGAGGGGGCCGAAGCCCGGCCAAGCTTGGAGCTGCTCGCTCCTACCTGCGCAGCTTCGCCGACTCGGACGACCAGGAGGCGGCGGATCTGCACGCCGAGTCGCCGCGGCGGAGGCGGATGGCCCGCTCGGCGCTGTACCGAAACGCCAAGTGTCGGATGGATACCTGTTGGGACTTCTCCCGGTGCCCACCGCACAAACCCTTCCGTGTGTACATCCATCCCAACGCCGAGTACACCGATAACACCTTGGGGCCCGGGCCGCAGTCCGCCGCTTACACCAAGATCCTCGAGGCCCTCAGACGTTCGGGGTACCTCGCTGAGCGTCCCGAGGACGCCTGTGTCCTTGTTCTAGCCGTGGACACTCTGGATAGAGACCGGCTCAGCCCGGACTATGTGTCCGGCGCGGCGCAGCGCATCCAGGCGCTGCCTCTCTGGAACGGCGACGGTACGAACCACCTCGTCTTCAACATCTACTCCGGCACGTGGCCGGACTACGCCGAGGAGCTCGGCTTTGACACCGGGAGAGCCGTGCTGGCGAAGGCCTCCTTCAGCATGGACAAATTCCGCCCCGGGTTCGATATTTCTATCCCGCTGTTCGCTAAGGACCACCCCCAGCGTGGCGGGCGGCCGGGCGACCTGACCGCCAACACCTTCCCGGCCGCTACCGCCAACAAGTATCTCCTCGTCTTCAAAGGTAAACGTTACCTGACCGGCATAGGGTCCGAGACCCGAAACGCTCTGTATCATCTACACAACGGCGACGATATCATTCTCACCACCACATGTAAGCACGGCAAGAGCTGGAAATCACACGATGACGGCAGATGTCAACAAGACCAGCAAGAATTCGACAAGTAAGTTCTCTTTTCTATATCATAACATAAAGCAGAACATCAAGAAAGCAACACAAAGTGCCAACTAAAGCATCTACCGAGCTCCCGTTTAGAGAAGCAACTTACAGATTTGTTTAGTCTTCCCCCCAAGCAAATTATGTTCCAAGGAATGTTGAATGCCTTAAAGATGTCAGAAATTCCTTGCGTGTCCAAGATGTTGTGAGTTTGTCCACTTTAGAGTGACCCAAAGTGTCCCTGTAAGTTCCAGGTGCCCACATATGTCGCTAGTCTGACCAGTGCGTATATAAACCTTTTTACGGTAAATTCCATTCATTGTGTAGTCTGGGGTTCAATTCACCCCCCCCCCTCTACATCACTGCAACAGAAAAATACCTGTATATTAAGAGACTCAATGTAAGATTTAGTGTCAAAGCTGGAAATATTTTGCATAGAACAATTTTGAAATTTAATAATGATTGCGGGTACATTTTTGCATGTCAGTTGCCATATGGTTGATTCAGTCTAATGTGTAACGAAATGGCCGGAAAATTAAATTCCGAAATCGTCCAAATGTTACATCGAGTGAGTGACCAAATTTGCTGTTGCCACTTTGAGGAAGTAATTTGCAGGTATGTGTTAGACAAGGGTCTAATGAGCATAAATAGGATCCACCCATTTAGAAATCTGATAAACTGTTTGATTTCCACTTAACTGTTACTTTGCACTGCGGTAAAAATGAACTGTACTTACTATACTTCTAAAAAAACTTTTCCATGACTCCATTATTATGTATACTTCCACAAAAAAAAAAATGTAGAAAAGCCTTACGATAAAAACTAGAAACTTTGAATATCTGCATGTTGTTACTATCTGTCACCAAGGCTTGAAGTTGTGATAGGTTTTTGACAGTTACCGAAAACTACTCTAGGTTTATACCGTAAACAGAGGACTGTATAACCTGGAATTTAGAGACCAAGAAAAAATGTTGTAGTACGTTGTGTGAGCTATTTGCAGCCATAGGCTACTGCGTTCTCATTCATGTGAATGATTTAATCATACGGAAGACTGAGAAACTAAATGTCGACACAAGTTTTTTGTCACGCTGCCTTGACCCTCTGGTGTCTAGGTGCGAATTTGTTTAGGCCGTATTCTGGCATTTAGAGACGTGGGCAGAGTTGACGCACCATCAGAAAATAGAAAGGGACGAAAAGGAGCTAAAAATAACCCCCCTGTGCCATTAATAGTAGCATCTCCCAGCAATGTTGCTGGACTATGTCCATTGGCCCTTATGGTGTTACCGTAAATGCATTTAACATTGCACATGTTTCATTCCATCGTACGAAGGAAAAAGAGGTTTTCGTGTTGTTTGAAATTAAAGATTGAAACAATTTGTTGTACAGTAGGATTACAATTTAGTAAAAAAACAAAAATTCTCGGTAGAGGTGACAACAAAAATAAAACCACTGCAAAAATGTCTGCATCTACGGTAGTCACTGGGGGATAATTGCTATGTTTACATTGTATGTTTACCATCTATATTATAGTATATATCTTTTAAAGTGATCTTAGTATATAAAAGTTTATTTATCCTTTATTCAGAAATGAGAAGACACGAAACGACAATCTGTAACTTGTAAGGAAAGAGGAGAATTGCAGCTAGAAATATAAATTACTTGCAGTTTGTTAACTGAAAGAAAACCAGCCGCCAGGGGGCTCAAAAATCTAATCATTTCGAGGTCTCTCCTAGATCTACCTACCAAATATCATGACAATCCGTCTAAGCCTTCTCGACTTATCTTGTTTACAAACATAAACACACACGAACGTCAACAAAAACATAACCTTCTTGGCAAAGGTAATAATTCAAGCTCAGTATTCTCAACTACAAGCGAAGTAAATAGAAGTTGAAGTTACAGTAATAAAAATATTGCAGATGATACATAGAATTTCTTAAAGATGGTCTGTAATATTTGTGTATCCCTGAATGAAGAAGTAACAACTCACCAGACAAGTTTACCATAATAACATCTTATACACATACACAAAGAGTGGCAGGTTCGGACTTAAGTTAAGGTGACACATAATCAATACGCGAGACGTACCACAAGTGGGGATTCTATCGTGTTTAAGGATGGCGCATAACATGTAGTGCTGTGTACCGGTTCCGGACTTGTAAAAATGTTTAGGTTCAAGTCCAAAAAAAACTAGTATAAGTCAAGAACCGATTCCGGACTTATTAAAAAAGAAACCATGTCACATCCCCCTTTTCTTTTCAACCCACCTAGTTATCTGAAATACTTATCAGTTATCTGTCTATGACTATGAAATGGTTATCTGTGGCAGATTTCTAACTCTTTCCAGCTGCTTCCGAAGCCTGGTGGAGGCTCCAAAAGATTCCTTATACTAAGTTATAGTAACAGTAGTCCAGAAAATGTTACAACTTACTACCTAATATCTGCTTGGAGATTTAGCCATGTTGTGTCGTGTAGTGTCCCTTGGCTGGCCTTAAGACCCTTCCCAGGTGAATACAGGTGTGATAAGGACTCATTAAGTGGGCATCAAGGAGGAGCTAAGTTGTTATGTACTCATGTCAGCAGGGCCAGACAACAGTGTTATCAGGCAGTGTGCTGGTCTGTCACTGGGTCAACAGTCCATCTGTAGACTGTACCATACGTTACGCACTGTACGATTAGCCCACACCAATTTACTTTCTTGGTTAACGGATTTTTCTAGAAAAATAATGGAGCGGGTGGGTGAAAAATAGATAAAAATAAAAACAGGCCTAGGCATCCTATTATGGCCCAAAATGGTACGATAGGAGCTATGAAGTCAACACACCAGCCTGGTTCAAAATTTAAACAATGAATTTGGATTGAAAGATGGAAGAAATGTAACAAGTAGGAAGAAAAGGACTGTTTTCAACTGTTCAGGGTAAAATACGAGCATTTTGCAGTTGGTTCTGAATTTTTTATTTTTTTTTTTGCAAATCTGAAAAAAATCATGAAGCGGGCGAATCCGTTAACCACGAAATTAAATTGGTGTGGCCTTATTGCTGTGTAGCTAAATCCACATTTAGGTTCAGGTCCGGATTCAAGTCCAGAGGTTTAGGTTCAGTTCCGGAATCGTAAGTCCGGACCTAAACCCATGGTATATACAAAATTGCATGTTGCCAGCCTTGCAATGTTGTCTGGGCAAAACTGTGGCCACATAACATGGAGGCCGACACTTGACGATGCCACGTTTCAATTTCCCACCCAACATCTGCTTGGAGACTATAAAACAGCCACACCATACGTCTGCTTGGAGATAAACTGTATCTTTATATACCAAGATTTGAATTTCAGTAGTGGAATTTTTAGTCGTTTGCATATGATTAACCCAAAGTACTAACTTCCAGGGAATAGATACAATAACATATGTTTTGTATTTGACAAATTCCAGATTTCGAAGAATGGGGGAAGTACCTTTACTGTAACAAACTTGCCAGGGAATAAATTCCATACTTTACACATGTTTTGTATTGGACAAATTCCAGATTTCGAAGAAAGGGGGAAGTACCTCACTGTAACTAAAATAAACAGGGCTTAAATGTTAGGAAATATTTAGGAAGTCGTTGGGCATTGTTTGAAACCAGACCTTCCCCATACTGAAGTGTCTGAGAGGACCTATAGTAAAGAACGCCTGTCTGATACCATCTGCTATGTATTACTGTAGTAACTTGTTAATTGGCCAGGGTATCACATATAAGTTTGTATAATCAGTAGCTGCTTATGGAGAAAGTAGAGTTTTTGCTACTAGAACTACACTTCCTTTCTCAATAGTCACTGACACTAAAATCCTCAATTCTCAGACTGTATTAAAGGAATCCAATGCTATTTCAGGGTGGCAAAACTGGATTTTCAAAGTAAATTTTCTGGTCATTCTTTTAATGTAGTAAGTTGACTCAATCCTATCTTATACTATAAGTTATAGCTGTGAGGCAAAAATGTGATGTTGTTGACGGAAAATGGTTGCTTGTTTTGTATTGTAGGCTGGTTCTAGATATTTATGGGTGGTACCCAAAAATAAAGAGACGCCTCATTCTTTAACTTGTTTTAAGGCTATTTTGAAGATGTCAAGTATGAAATGATGACAAAACAATGCTAAGAAATGGCAGTAAATGTCAATATCAGACAGATTTTCTCATCTAGAAAATTTGTTTGCGACCCTGAAATTACAGAAGATGCCTTTAAAATGTGGTGGCCATATTTTTGAGGGGGTGGGGGGCACTAGATTTTAGACCAGACAGTATGTGCCCTGTATGCTTACTTGGACCCAAGTGCTGTAGGTTGTTATCTCTATCTAAGTGGACTGAATACCAGGTTGGCACTTTAGGTAGCTGACAGTATCAGAGAGAACTTTCCTAAGCTTTGAGTTGGTCCACCTGTTTAGCACATGTTCAAAAACAGGGCATTTGGATCTGTATCGGTTTCTGTATAGCCAGTATAACCAGTACGTCGGCAGAATGTACTGCACCTGTGCGAATTATGTGATGTATTGTGCACAGCACTTTGGCAGAACGTCTCATATAAGGTTGTATTCGTGCATATAAGGTTAACATCCCATCTGCAACAGACAAAATTCTGATGCAAAGTTGACCGAAAATCCAACAAAAACTGTTGAAAATGGGGGTTTTGCGCAGGCGCAGTACATTCAACCGATGTGCTAGTATAACCACCCTTTGGCGTAACACCAGTTTCGTAGGCACGTGGCAAGCTATATCACACCGAATTACCTGTTACACCCATTCTTTGCACATTAAATTGCAGCAGTTGTTTAAGCTTTCTAGTGATGATGCCCCAACTGTGCTTGGTGGCAACGAGTTCCACTCTACAATAGTTCTTGGATGTGTGTTTGTCTTGAAAAGGAATTCGTAGTGTCGAGTAGTTTTTAAATTGTGAAGAAAATTACAAGGATGTTGGCTTTTGGATTGTATTTAACAAAAGAAAACAGGGTGGGTGTGTATGTGGGTGTATTTGTGA